AGCTGCTGGATGTTCTCTAAACGCTGCATGTCTCCTCAAGCTGCTGGATGTTCTCTAAACGCTGCCATGTCTCCTCAAGCTGCTGGATGTTCTCTAAACGCTGCCATGTCTCCTCAAGCTGCTGGATATTCTCTAAGCGCTGCCATGTCTCCTCAAGCTGCTGGATGTTCTCTAAACGCTGCCATGTCTCCTCAAGCTGCTGGATATTCTCTAAGCGCTGCCATGTCTCCTCAAGCTGCTGGATGTTCTCTAAACGCTGCCATGTCTCCTCAAGCTGCTGGATGTTCTCTAAACGCTGCCATGTCTCCTCAAGCTGCTGGATGTTCTCTAAACGCTGCCATGTCTCCTCAAGCTGCTGGATATTCTCTAAGCGCTGCCATGTCTCCTCAAGCTGCTGGATGTTCTCTAAACGCTGCCATGTCTCCTCAAGCTGCTGGATATTCTCTAAGCGCTGCCATGTCTCCTCAAGCTTCTGAGTGTTCTCTAAATGCTGCATGTGTTGTTGCTGGAGATGTTTCTTCATGAGGAACCTTTGGGTTTTTATATCTGCATCCTTCCTGAAGCTGTTTCTCCTGAAGGAGGAGACGTGGGTCAACATTTGCACTTGTCAGACACCGTAGAAAATACAAATTTTCACAATGTTCTGAAGACGTGAAGCTTTTGGGAAAAGCTCAGTATTGAAACCCAGAAACAGGAAATGTTATTTTCTGAAGGTCTCCTTTGGACGATCTAAATCCTCTCCTCTCTTCGTCCTTATGTTTCCTCGACTAAAACCTCCAGCTATTTCCTGAAGGACCAATTACCTCTGAGCTAAGTGTGTAATTGTTGTAAATGACGGTCGGTCTTTATGAAAGCTCCAGACCCTCACATCAAACACAGCTTCATTTATGCACTAAAGTGTGTACGGTTCCAAATGCTCAGAGTGCCCAGCTCTTCTAGCTCGAGATGTGTTTGTTTAATGACTGAGGTTTGAGCGTGTGTTTGCAAACAATGTCTTATTCAAATGCTTTCTGCAGGATGCTGTTTTTTCAGTGCAGAGTTTTAATAATATCCTCTCTTTTATGCATTTATCATTTATTGTGTGTGTTAATTATTTATTGTGTGTTAATGCAAATGTAAAGCACTTTAGCCCTAACTAACCTCTGTGCTGAAAATGTGCTTTCAAACTATAATTACTTTCCCTTTTATTATAACGTGTGGTTTTTAAGCAACATTTTGAAAACAGTTTCCCCCCCGAGACGATAACGTATTTAACCGTTTATTAAAACAACTGAATTCTTTAGTAAAAGGGAACGTGTGACAGAAGAGGCACTACTTACAAATAGGATAATGATTACATTGATGCAGTTTATTTATAAGGTCATTTTTCATTTTATTTAATAATAATAATAATAATAATAGATTACATTTGTGTTGCGCCTTTAGGGACCCAAGGCCGCTTTACAGGGTGAACAAACAAACACAAGTGCTTCAGAGTCAAACGGTAAACAAAAGGCTTTGTTTGAAAGACTCTTTTTGAAGGCTCAAAATCCCCGGATGAAAAAACATGTTTACTGAGAAAAGAGTTCACGTTTTCATTTAAAAATAGTCTAACTTTTGAGAAAATGACTTGAATGAGTGTAAGTCAATGGGTACAAGTATTTTTAGGCCCAATCACGGCACCCCCTATAGGAGGGGAATGAAGTGCGATATTTAGTACAAAACATTTGATTCAACAGAACTTTTTAATAAGAGCGTGAAAACACAGCTTTACTGAGTATGAAGTCAACGTTTTGAGAGAAACACCGATGAAGAGTCTTTAAAGTCTTTGTGCCCCTCACAGGTCGTGGATCTGACCCGGGATCAGGTAGCGTAAAATAAAGATGTTGCTTCACCAGAAAATGTTGAGGGCTCGTCTCGAAACCCCCGGATAAAAACACTGAGCATGAAGTTTACATTTAAATGTGGCACCAGGGAAGAGTCTTTAAAGTCCCGGAGGTTGGGCTGCTCACTGGTCCAGGATCAGGTAGCATAACGTTTGAATTTTGCACCAAAAAAAGCCTTAAAGTTTAAGAGAATTAAGTGTAAGTCAATGGGAAAAAGTCTTGTTGGGCCCATTGACGTTTGTCGCAGTATCCATGAGAGCATTTGAATAAGACATTGTTATGCAAACCGTCACAGTAACCCATCCTATACAGTTAACCATTGTTGTTCTCTACCGTCCACCAGGCGCCTTGGGGGACTTCTTGGAGGAATTAGATCATCTCCTCTCACTCATCCCTGAAACTGGCCCTCCCGCTGTACTTCTCAGAGACTTCAACCTCCAGACGGGGAAGATAGACGAACTAACATCTCTGTTAACCGCCTTTGCTTTCTCACTCTCTCCGTCCCCACCGACTCATAAAGCTGGCAATGTCCTTGATCTCATATTCTCAAGGAACTGCGCTACTTCTAACCTCTCTGTAAACCCGCTCCACACATCCGATCACTTCTTCATTTCATTCTCTCTACCCCTTTCCAAACATAACAAACTAATCTCTTCTCATCCTGCACCTGTCCGCCGTAACCTTCGCTCCCTCTCCCCCTCTACCTCGTCGGTGCTCTCAGCCCTCCCTTCCTCTGATTCGTTCCAACTACTGCCTCCAAACTCTGCTGCAGAAACTCTCCTCTCTACTCTCTCATCCACTCTGGACTCTCTCTGTCCTCTCACATCTCGGCAGGCTCGTCAGTCCCCTCCGGCTCCCTGGCTAAATGATGCACTGCGTGCTAATAGAACCGTCCTTAGGGCAGCAGAGCGGAAATGGTGGAAATCCAAACACCGTGACGACCTCCTAACCTATCAGGCTCTCCTCTCCTCTTTCTCTGCTTCCATCTCTCAGGCAAAAAGCACTTTCTTTCAAGATATGATCCAATCTTCCTATTCCAATCCCAAAAAACTATTTTCCATCTTCTCCACCCTCTTGGACCCTCCAAAAGCTCCTCCCCCCTCCTCACTTCTGTCAAGCGACTTTGTTACCCACTTTGAAAAAAAGGTTGATGATATTCGCTCTTCTTTTTCTGACTCACCTTTACTCACCGCTGGGTCACCAGACCCTCCTTCCACCAACACACTGACCTCCTTTTCCCCTCTCTCTCCAAGTGAGGTTCTTACCCTCATTACCTCTGCCCGCCCTACCACCTGTCCTCTGGACCCTATCCCTTCAAACCTCCTTCAGAGTATCGCTCCTGATATTCTACCGTTTCTCACCCATTTCATCAACACTTCTCTAACTTCTGGTCACTTTCCAAACAGTCTCAAGGAGGCAAGAGTAAACCCTCTCCTAAAGAAACCCACTCTCAACCCGTCTGATGTTATAAACTACAGGCCTGTCTCTCTCCTCCCGTTCCTGTCTAAATCACTTGAACGCGCTGTCTTTAAACAACTCTCCTGTTATCTCCATCAGAACAACCTTCTGGATCCGCACCAGTCTGGTTTCAAGGCAGGTCACTCCACAGAAACTGCTCTCATTGCTGTCACGGAGGAACTGCACACTGCTAAAACTGCATCCCTCTCCTCTGTCATCATCCTGTTGGACCTGTCTGCTGCATTCGACATGGTGAATCATCAGATCCTCCTTCGCACTCTCCAAAAACTTGGAGTTTCAGGCTCTGCACTTTCCCTCCTCACCTCATACCTGAAAGACCGTACCTACAGGGTGACTTGGAGAGAGTCTGAGTCAGACCCTTGTCAATTAACTACAGGGGTCCCTCAGGGCTCTGTTCTTGGTCCCCTCCTCTTCTCCTTGTACACAAACTCGCTCGGATCAGTCATTAGCCCGCATGGTTTTTCTTACCACTGCTACGCTGACGACACCCAATTAATTCTGTCCTTTCCCCGCTCAGAGACCCAGGTCGTCGCACGCATCTCTGCTTGTCTAGCTGACATCTCTCAGTGGATGTCTGCTCACCACCTCAAGCTCAACCTTGACAAGACTGAGCTGCTCTTCCTCCCGGGAAAAGATTGTCCAACTCTTGACCTAACAATCAACATCGGCACCTCAGTTGTTTCCCCCGACTCAGACTGCAAGGAATCTGGGTGTGACCCTAGATAACAACCTGTCCTTCACTGCAAACATCGCTGCTACAACCCGTTGCTGCAGATACACGCTTTACAACATCAGGAAGATACGTCCCCAGCTGACTCAGAAAGCGACTCAGGTTCTGGTCCAGGCTCTCGTCATCTCACGCCTAGACTACTGCAACTCCCTCCTGGCTGGTCTACCTGCATGTGCCATCCGACCTCTGCAGCTCATCCAGAATGCAGCGGCTCGTCTGGTCTTCAACCTTCCTAAATTCTCCCACACCACTCCGCTCCTCCGCTCCCTTCACTGGCTTCCGGTAACTGCTAGAATCCACGTCAAGACACTGGTACTTGGATCTGGCCCTTCGTACATCCAGGACATGGTTAAACCGTACACCCCAGCGCGTGCACGACGCTCTGCATCAGCCAAACGACTCGCTGCACCCTCGCTGCGAGGGGGACCCAAGTTCCCATCAGCAAAAACACGTGGGTTTGCTGTCCTGGCTCCAAGATGGTGGAATGAGCTCCCCATTGACATCAGGACAGCAGATAGCTTGCACATCTTCCGGCGCAAACTGAAAACTCATCTCTTTCGACTCCACTTCGAGCGATAGAACTATTAACAAAGCACTTATATACTAATAAAGGACTGGCTTATCTAAAGCTAGTTGAGTAGCACTTGAAATGTTTGGCTCTATGAAACCTGATGTACTTATATGATTCTGTTTTCTTCAAGGTTGTGTCTTCCTGGTCGAATGTACTTATTGTAAGTCGCTTTGGATAAAAGCGTCAGCTAAATGCAATGTAATGTAATGTATCCCCACATGAAAAATGACGTCACTGAACTTTTTAAGGGCTTGTCTCGAAACCCCCGGATGAAAACACACCTTTACTGAGAATAAAGTTAACATTTTAATTTAAATTTGGCACCAAAGAAGAGTCTTTAAAGTCTTTGTGCCCCTTACAGGTCGTGGATCTGACCCGGGATCAGGTAGCAGTCGTTGGGACCGGAGGAGTTGAAGGGCATGAGGTCCAGACAGATCTCTGCCTCACACTGAAAGATGACAGAGACTTTGTCGAAGTTCACTTCCTGTCTCTGCACACCTGGAACCGGAACTACTTCCTTCTGCAGGGTGGAGTCGTGGCGGTAGGACACCAACTCGTTGCTGAAGTCCACCGCCTGCACCTCAGAACTGGAGCAGAACTTCCCGCAGCCCAGCAGCGTGGAGAAGGCCTTCCTGAAGTCTGCGTTGAAGGCGTAGATCACCGGATTCAGGGAGGAATTGGCCCATCCGAACCACACGAAAACGCTGAAGGTCGTGTCGCTGACGCACGCACTTCCTCTCTGCGAATCACAGAAAGGAACCACGCAGTTCAACACGAAGAACGGCAGCCAGCAGAACACAAAGACCCCCATGATGACGGAGAGGGTCTTCAGCACTTTGGTTTCTCTCTTGAAAGACGTCTTCAGAGAACTCTCTTCCTGCGTCGAAACACGATGGTGGTGGTTTCGTGGGTTTCGTCCTGCCGTCGCTGCGGCGTTTTCCAGGGACGAAATGCGCCTGATTTGGGTCTGAGCGATGCGGAAGATACGCGTGTACGTGCCCACCATGATCACCACGGGGATGTAGAAGCTGATGAGCGACGAGGAGATGGCGAAGCTTCGGTTCAGGCGAGTGTTGCAGTCCAACATGTTCATCGCTGAGGTGGAGTTTTGCACACGGTGCCAGTTGAGCTGCACGGGGATGAAGGAGATTAAAATGGAGAGCGTCCACGCAACACCGATCATCAGGTGAGCGAACCTGCGCGTCATCCTTCTCTCGTAGCGAAAGGGACTGGAAATGGCCCAGTATCGATCCATGCTGATGACGCAGAGGTTCAGGATGGACGCGGTGGAGCACATGATGTCAAAAGCCACCCACGTGTCACAGAAACGTCCGAAAAGCCACGTGCCAGAGACCTCGGACACGGCGCGCCACGGCATCACGAGCACGGCCACGCACAGGTCGGACACCGCCAGCGACACCACGAAGGAGTTGGTGACTTTGGAGCGGAGGTGGCGGAACCGGATCACCGCGAGGCAAACCAGAGCGTTCCCGAGGAGCGTGGAGACGATCAGGGAAAAGAGCACGCAGCCGGTGAGCGTGCGGAGGCTGAGGCTGCTCATCACAACGTGCACGCCCCCAGGAAGAAGTGCTCCTGTGTCCAAACGGCGGTACTACAACTTCCGTATCAGTCCGTGACGTCACCCGGCCCAGAAAGACTTTATCCCATTGACTAACGTGGGGAAAGAGACATCTGTAAACACGTGTATAGCCCTTAGTAGATTCATTCGTTCCTTAAAGTTGTAAAATGCGAAAAAAGCCGAATCCAGATTTATTTTCTCTCTCTATTCGTTGGACTGAGCCGAGAACGGGAGATCGGAGGCGGGGCTTAATGACAGGAGGCGTGGCTTAATGGAAACTGCGCATGCTCTATAAACTACATACAGGTACTTCTGCTCTGACAGCAAGGCATGATGGGTAATCTGTGACGTTTTGCTCTCGAAAACGTCAGGCCATTTTGTCTTCGCCAATTAGCAGCTCCCATAGGAAAGAAAGACCTCACCTCCAACGCTGTGTCCCGTTCTTATCACACATCTTCATCCCAACGCACCAGCACCGCGTCCGCGTGTCCAAACTGCCCCAAACCCTCTTGTGCAGCTGAGAGATGTCCCCCCCCTCCTCAGCTGCACAACATCAAACTGCAGAGAGAGAGAGAGAGAGAGAGAGAGAGAAGAGAGAGAGAGAGAGAGAGAGAGAGAGAGAGAGAGAGAGAGAAGAGAGAGAGAGAGAGATGAGAGAGAGAGAGAGAGAGAGAGAGAGAGACTGTATATGTTGTTAAGGTAACCCCCTTTTTATGTTTATATTTTGGTATATTTGAGTGGAATGACTTGTGTGTATTTATATTTGATACTGTGTATTCTGTAGATGCTCATTTACACATTTAAGATCAATAAAGCAAAATATATCTATCAGTGTGTACTATGAGTGTAATAAGTGAGGCACATTGTGTTAGAAAGCTAAAGGAGAGTGCTGCCCTCTGCTGGACACTCGTCATTAAAACAAAGGACACATGTATAAGTACACAACAATCGTTTGTTTGTAAACAAATCTGCAAACGCAACAAACTGTTTTACGTTTAATTAATTTGATTTAATTTGTATAGTTATGTCTGGACAGAGGTGGGAAGTAACTAAGTATTCACTCAAGTATTCGAGTATTCCTACACTCTGGTACTTCTACTTTTACTCAGGTACAAGATCTGAGTACTTCTACTTTTACTCAAGTACAAGACCTGAGTACTTCTACTTTTACTCAAGTACAAGACCTGAGTACTTCTACTTTTACTCAAGTACAAGACCTGAGTACTTCTACTTTTACTCAAGTACAAGATCTGAGTACTTCTACTTTTACTCAAGTACAAGATCTGAGTACTTCTACTTTTACTCAAGTACAAGATCTGAGTACTTCTACTTTTACTCAAGTACAAGATCTGAGTACTTCTACTTTTACTCAAGTACAAGATCTGAGTACTTCTACTTTTACTCAAGTACAAGACCTGAGTACTTCTACTTTTACTCAAGTACAAGACCTGAGTACTTCTACTTTTACTCAAGAACAAGATCTGAGTACTTCTACTTCTACTCAAGTACAAGACCTGAGTACTTCTACTTTTACTCAAGAACAAGATCTGAGTACTTCTACTTTTACTAAAGTACAAGACCTGAGTACTTCTACTTTTACTCAAGTACAAGACCTGAGTACTTCTACTTTTACTCAAGAACAAGATCTGAGTACTTCTACTTTTACTCAAGTACAAGACCTGAGTACTTCTACTTTAACTCAAGTACAAGATCTGAGTACTTCTACTTTTACTCAAGTACAAGATCTGAGTACTTCTACTTTTACTCAAGTACAAGACCTGAGTACTTCTACTTTTACTCAAGAACAAGATCTGAGTACTTCTACTTTTACTCAAGTACAAGACCTGAGTACTTCTACTTTTACTCAAGAACAAGATCTGAGTACTTCTACTTTTACTAAAGTACAAGACCTGAGTACTTCTACTTTTACTCAAGTACAAGACCTGAGTACTTCTACTTTTACTCAAGAACAAGATCTGAGTACTTCTACTTTTACTCAAGTACAAGACCTGAGTACTTCTACTTTAACTCAAGTACAAGATCTGAGTACTTCTACTTTTACTCAAGTACAAGACCTGAGTAATTCTACTTTTACTCAAGAACAAGATCTGAGTACTTCTACTTTTACTCAAGTACAAGACCTGAGTACTTCTACTTTTACTCAAGTACAAGACCTGAGTACTTCTACTTTTACTCAAGAACAAGATCTGAGTACTTCTACTTTTACTCAAGTACAAGACCTGAGTACTTCTACTTTAACTCAAGTACAAGATCTGAGTACTTCTACTTTTACTCAAGTACAAGACCTGAGTACTTCTACTTTTACTCAAGAACAAGATCTGAGTACTTCTACTTTCACTCAAGCACAAGATCTGAGTACTTCTACTTTTACTAAGTACAAGATCTGAGTACTTCTACTTTTACTCAAGTACAAGATCTGAGTACTTCTACTTTTACTCAAGTACAAGACCTGAGTACTTCTACTTTTACTCAAGTACAAGATTACTTATATAATACCAAAATATATTAACACATTTTCTGAGAAAAAAGTTTTTAGAATACGTTTTTAACAAAGACATGTTGCACATTGTTAATTGGCATAAGCACATTTCTTAATATTTAATTATATATATAAATGATAAATAAATACCTTTATAAACCATAATATATAACACTATCATTTGTACTGTACATATTGTCTTGTTCTCGAGTGAGGGAACAATGGGAGATGGGCCGGAGAATCGGAGCAGCGGGAGCGGTACTGCAGTCGCTTTACCGCACCGTTGTGACGAAAAGGGAGCTGAGCCAGAAGGCAAAGCTCTCTGTCTACCGGGCCATTTTCGTTCCTACCCTCACCTATGGTCATGAAGGATGGGTCATGACCCAAAGAACGAGATCCAAGGATACAAGCGGCCGAGATGGGTTTTCTCCGCAGGGTGGCTGGTGTCTCCCTTAGGGATAAGGTGAGAAGTTCGGTCATCCGTGAGGGACTCGGAGTTGAGCCGCTCCTCCTTCGCGTCGAAAGGAGCCAGTTGAGGTGGTTCGGGCACCTAGTTAGGATGCCACCTGGGCGCCTCCCTAGGGAGGTGTTCCAGGCACGTCCAGCTGGGAAGAGACCAAGGGGTAGACCTAGGACCAGGTGGAGGGATTATATCTCTTCGCTGGCCTGGGAGCGCCTTGGGATCCCCCAGTCAGAGCTGGTTGATGAGGGGGAAGGAACGTTTGGGGCTCTCTGCTGGAACTGATACCCCCGAGACCCGACCACGGATAAGGGGAGAAGACACATGATTACATTTTTGTATTTATTGTATTAAATGTTACAGGATATTAAAGGTCACCTCTCAGGCTATTTTTAGGCAATAGCAAAGGTTTCAGATACAAATATATAGAAACATGTCTGTGAAGTGTTTTGCTCCAAACACCAAACAGATCATTCTAGCCACGCCTCATATCCCTCTGTTTCACTTCCTGTTTCTAAAGTGCTGATTTGGGTATAAAGCTTTAAAGAGGAGGGGTCTGAGCTCATGCGGGACCCGGCATCTACTGTCTAAACTAAATGCTGCCGTGATGAAACGCCATATCATGGATCATCAAGGATTCTCTCTGAAACAGTCTGGAGCTTGTTACATCAATCTTAGACCTACTGTAGTCATAGTAACTATGTATGTTATTGAATTACAGTTTCCATAGAATCGTCTCTTTGCTAATTATTACGTTGAGCTGAGGCCAAGCTCAGAGGAAATGCAAAGAGGCTGCATTTAGATATAATAGAGTTAAGTGTTAGTAAATGAAAGAAATGTTTGTGCGTTCATGTGCAGACGTATATATAGTTTGGTAATTGGATCATTCATATCCTGCCAGAGTCCTAAAGACGTCATGAGATGATGACCTTTCCACGTCTGGAACATGTCCAAGTTTAGGAGACCTGACAATGTGTGCGTTAAACATGTTTAGGGACATGTTCGTGTGTCATTTAGAAACCTATATCGCCCTGTGTGTCTGGTACTCGTGGGAGCATTGCTCTTTGAGTGCTGAGAGCAGGACATGTTTCACATGTTTGTGGTGAGCGGCTAAATAATAAGGATTCATCTCAACTATTTCTGTGTTTGTGTTTCATTGATTCCTCTCTGTTTCACTCTTTCCTGTTGAGTGCTGGATCGCCACAACAAGCTCAAAGGCTTTCTCTCTCGCCGGTTACACCACAAGGTGACTTCCTTTCTACTTCCTGCTTCTTCACACACATGCTCTCCAGTACAGGTTAGCTCTGAGTGTTAGCGATGCTAATGTAAACACCGACCATATTACGTCCAAAACAGTCGGGCATTGTTTCTGATAGCAACGTTTCTGATTGGCCCGCGGGTCCACATTTCAGATATTACGTCATATCGGACACAAATCTGGATCAGCTCCGTTGCTCCCCGTTTTTAGAGATTTGGGTACGGAGGAAAAGAGAGAGGGATTTATTTCCTGACACACCGGGGACACATGGTGACGTATAAAAGACATCACAAAGTGCATTTCGCATTATAGGTCCCCTTTAATAATACACTCAAATAAATATTAAAACATTATAGATATTAAAAAAACACGCGGATTATTTGCCCGGGGAGATTCTGACAGGATGCTAAAAATACTTTGTTTTTAAGTATTTTGTTTTTTTAAATGCATTTGCATCCAATTAGCCCAAATGCATCATGGGAAAACCTGCAGCCCCAGGAGAAACCCAAGCATGACTCTAATTGGACTTCCTGTCTCCTCACTTCCTATCTTTGAGTATTTACATTGTTTGCCACTTTATACTTCTGCTCCAGGACATTTAATAACAGCTTCTTTTCACAACATGCACTCTTTGAGTCTCAGGAGATGATGCAACAATATTATTTAGAAATGGCACATATATAAATATAAAAAGGCCAATCTTTTGCTCACTGTCTCCTCACTTCCTCTCCCTTCCTCCTCACTTCCTA